TTCAATTGATCAAAGCAGTGCTGGAAGTCTTCTTTGGTGAGAGCCTATAGGAGCTCTGTCATTTTTTGCTTTACCGCTTCCATTGACTCAAACCGGGTCCCTTTCAAAGCAGATTTTATCTTTGGAAACAAAAAAAAGTCGCACGGTGCCAAATCTGACGAGTACGGCGTATGTCCGAGCACTGGAGTGCGGCCAAATACTGCTTCACAGATAGCGCGTTATAGGCAGGTGCGTTGTCCTGGTGCAAAATCCACGAGTTGTTCTTCCACAACTCGGGCCGTTTCTTACGAACTCGTTCTCGCAGTTTTGACAAAACTGACAAATAGTAGGTTAGTCTAAGTCTGCTTAACAGTTTGATCCTCTGGAACTCATTCAGTTATATTAATACCGTTAGTGTCAAAAAAAAAAAAGATAACATTGCCTTGAATTTTGATTTGGACATCCTTGCTTTTTTGATTCTGGGCGACTCAGGCGTCCTCCAATGCATCGACTGCCGTTTTGTATCAACATCGTATTGAAAAATCCACGTTTCGTCGCAAGTAATAATGTTTTTCATCAGTTCGGGATCTTCTTCTAACCTTTCAAGGAAATCTAAGCAGACATGTTGACGTAAAAGCTTTTGGTCTGGAGTCAGTTTTTTTGGCACTAACTTCACACAGACTTTTGTCATGTGTAATTCATCGTGTAAAATTTTTCTAACCGTTTCTTTATTGGCGTTTACAGCCTCGAAAATCATCCGGATGCTCATTCGACGATCTACACACACAATTTGGTTGATTTTAGTCACGGTTTCAGGAGTTGAAACAGTGACAGGGTGACCTGGGCACTGGTCATCTTCAGTGCTCTTTCCGCCCTCACTGAAGCGCTTACACCACTCATAAACACGTGCACGAGATAGAGAATTATCCTCATAGGCCTCTTACATTAATTTAAAGCATTCAATCAGGGTTCTTTTCAATTTAACGAGAAATTTGAGATTGATACGTTACTCCTATATTTCGTCACACAGGTTTTTGGCACGAGAAAAAAACACGTTCGTTTCAAACCACTACTGTAAAAATACTATAATAGTGACGAAAACGTGTTTTGATACGTGCATAAATAAGATATCTAGAATCTAGATATCTAAAAAACGAGTAGTGTGTTGGGTATCTAGATTCTAGATACCCAACACACTACTCGTTTTTTTCCCCACACGTCTAGGGCACCCTATATGCGGGCAGTCTCGTTATTTAATAGCCAGACCTCGTATATATTATATATTATAGTTAATGTATTGAATTCCGTTATTTTATGAAATTACCTATGAATGTTAGTTAAACTATGAAATCATAATCATACATGAAAATTATACTAATTATTTTACAGAATCAGTGTCATTTAAACGGTTATTTTCGTATTTTTACACAAAAATAATGGAAAATATTTTTATCAAGCTATTATTTTCATTAATATAATTTAGAGTATTAAAAATGTTTAATAAATGAGAAACGTTGATATAGATAATCTTATTAACCTCTTATCTACTTTTTAACTCCTTTTATGACCCATTCCATTCCTTATACCCTACCTCCCTCATAGACGGAAATCTTTGGAAATTCGAAGAGGGCTGACATTTTAAACGATATACCGAGCAATGGGAAGGTTTTCCATATACTGCCATACAAAATGTCAAAACATGTGGAGAGATATCAGTTTTTTTGTGGTGGAAATAAACCCCCTTTATTATGATGTGATAAATATATTAATTAAATATTAATATATTTATATTATTTATTAAATTACTAAATATATTTATTATGATGTGCAGTAACAAAAATAATAAAAATAACTCCTATACTTTGTATTTAACTTTATATTTAGTTTTAAACAAGTACCTAATACAGTTAATTTAAAACATATTTATAAATATTGATTATATTTTTACAGGATATTGTAATGAACTACACTATCTCAAATTTAAATAATTGATTAAAAAATGTTCAAGCACCAACACAATATAAGAAATTATAAAAATTATGTTCAAATCGTATTTTAACGAATAAAAATATAATTGATAAATGGATTTTATAAATTATTACTAAATATTACTTTCTGAACTAACATGATTTCAATATTTTCTTACGTGTTAAAACATTTAAGCTTAAAAAAAAATAATATAGTTAAAATGTTTACCCAAAATACATCACGCCAATATATTATTTTAAATACAATTGACAAGTTATAAATCAAAAAACTGAGACGTTTAGTGTGTAGTTAGATATACTACACAGAATACTATTAACAAAGTAGAAATCATTATATTACTTTTGGACTAGTTTGACGACCTCCCCCACTCACATTAATCGGTACTTATACAAAATTTAGCCGCCGAGTAGGCAATTTAATGAGAGCAAGCATATAGATAATCTTAATTAAGATTATAGGTTTTTTATGAAAAACAAATCTCAACAAAATACATTTAAAATATAATAAACATTATGAACTATGCATCATGTAATAAATTAACAGAAGTGTACATAAAAAATCAATTTAATAATAATCTTATATTTACAAGAATAAATTATTTTCATAGTAAATCAAAAAAAAATAAATAATTCAAATATAATTAGCTTTAAAAAATATGTTCCAAATTATTGATTAACAGATGAGTCATTCTCTTACATAACATATAAAAATTATCTTATGAAAAATAACAAATAATTTTTATAAAAATGATAAACATTTAAATTTAAAAATATTAAACGATAATGTAGGTCAGGATTAGAAGAGTTTAAAAGTTCTAAAAAGTGGCAAACTTTTTTAGGCTCAAGTGCAAAATTTTTCCAATCAAGGTTTTGAAAATTGTTCATGTATCCAAAGGAAATTATATTTTCTAAGAATAATAATAAACCTATAGATTTATTAAATTATTTTTACTAAGTAAATACAAATTATTTTTATATTATTATAAATTATGTTTTATTAAATATCCTTAAATTTGGTGTTATATATTTAATTATTTTATGCAGTTTCTTAGGGGATAACATTTTGATGTCAGTAGTGTACTTGTCCTTTATAGTGAAACACAAGCAGCAATTGTTTTATTGGTCAAAATACTTCTTTCTTTCAATTTAATTAAATTTGTTATTGAGAATACATTTTCACAATCATAAGTTGACGAAAAAATTGAAAGTTTAAGGAATAAATCCTTTTTAAAATACATCAAATTTCTTTGAATTTTTTATAACCAATAGTCTTTTTTAAATAGCGCAATATTTTTTGGTATAAAATTTTTAATAATTTCAATTTTTTTGCATGTTATTGAAATTTGGTGAATGTGCTACCTTTGACAAGCATGCCATAGATTTGCCATCCCTGATATAAGTAAGAACTGAAATGAAACATCATTTCATTAGAAATATGTCATAAAGACAATTAATTAATAATTACATAAATACATTCAACATTTTAACAAGTATATATATTCTCCATTATTATTTCAGTATCACATCAACTAAAAAATATATATTTATAACATAAATATTTAATTATTTCTGAATATTAATATTATTTTATTATTTTTTTTTTTTTTGGTTAATCATAAATCATAAAAATATAAAATCACTTTAACTTAGATTTTAAATTGACATAGATAATGTAATATTTTAGAAATTATGTCCTGTAACTTACTATGCAACAAATATTATTAGAGCATAATAGTTTACCTATTTTTTAAACATATTTATAATTTGAGTTATTTAAATATTAAAGAAACTTTAAAAATTAAAATAAAGATAACATTTTTAATAATCAATTAGTAGCAGGTACGTATATAAAACTTTTAAATTGCTTAAGCTACATTCTTACAACTGCATTAATGAGCTAAACTCTGTTAACTTATAATATTAATAATACAATTTTAAAAACATTGTTTTTAATGTCAATATTAAAGTTCTAATAATTTATATAACTACACATAAAGACACAACACTGTAAATTGTATATTATGTAGTTTTAACTGCATTAAAAAATCATTAACTTAATAGCATCATCAAAAAAGAAGAAAAAAAATGTACAAAATTGTTGTTATTATCATTTAAAATTATTATCCAGATATTTTAGATAGGTATTCTATCAACTAAAAAAAATGAAATATAATAGCACCATATATTAAATTTGGAAATGATAAAAAGAATATCATACAGGGAATTTCCTATAGGTAGGTCAGTATTTTCAATGTTTAATATTCAGTATTCAATAAAAATAATCTATGGCATAACAATGTAACGATTGTTACATTATAACATATGTTATACATGAATATATATATATATATATATATATATATATATAACAATTTGTGTGGATTTTCACAAAAACACAATGTTATATAACATATGTATACATTATTTATAGAAAAATGTTGACTATCTAATTAATATATAATAAATAACAATAATATAGTTGACTTTATATAAATAATTTAAATTTAATAAATTTAAAACACAAAATTGACTCTAGACCAGTGGTTCTTAAACTTTTTTGTTCTCCGAGCCCTTATGTTCCTGAAAAAAGTATAGAGCTTCAAAATTCAGTAATGTCTATTTGAGGTAACAATAATTATCGATTTTATGTTGAGTAAACAGCTTAAAATTTAATAATGTTATCATTACAGGTTGTATTGATAAATTTACTTCATTTAATTGTGTGAATTATCAGCCAAGCAAAGAAGTCGAAGTTACCTAATTTTATCAGTAAGTCTGAGTTGTAAATCAAATGGGTGATCGATGAAAAAAAACATACAATACATGGCGAAATACAATTAATCAAACATGAATTTTTCCTCAATGATTAAGAAATATAATAATATTACAATTTAATTCAGATGTGCCTACAGAGCCCCTAGACTTCTTTCACGGAGCTCTGGGGCTTCGCAGAGCACAGTTTGAGAACCACTGATCCAGACCATTTAAATTTATTTGATAGTATAAATATAAAAGGAAAAATGTAATACTCACTTATTAGTAAGCTCAACGGCAGTATTATGTGAAATAGTAGCAAAGAGATGATATACTTCTTCATGGTTCCTGTGAAATAACAATTTTTGAACACATTAACACATTGGTCGAGGAGAAAATGAACAACAAATAAAACTAAAAATAAATTTAAATTCAATGGTTATAAAGGATGGCAAAGATTTTGGAATCCAGCCAGATATGTTGAAGTTATAAAAAAATTTACGGTGGAGAAAACGCAAAAGTAAAAGAATTTCACATTAAAGCAAATTTAATCAATGAAGCAGACGTTGGGGTGTGCCGAGTGCCGAGCGTCAGGAGAATCACGTGGTGAAAAATAATTAAACGAAAGACGGAAGAAGAAAATTCCAGTCAGAATGTGGACTTTGTTTTTGTTTTTTTTTTTTTAAAAATTGTTAATAATTTTACGATCGTATCACACGCGTACACAAGCGTTGCACGCCGAACGATGACTGAATGTGTTACCACAATTATAATAATGACGATAATAGTAATAATAATTACTCTTTGCACTTCGCGTTACACAACTACCCGAATAACTCGTAACATTGCACCAACGTGTACCACCTACCCGCTGTTTCGATAAAACGCGTTCCTCGGCCGACCGACGCGTCGATTGCTCAAACGTAGAGATGTATCAGTGCCGAACGTCCGTCACCGTCCATTGTCGGGTTCGATCACCATAAAAGCAAACCTGACCGAAACGCGCCTCCGTACCGTACGCCGAGTTATGGATTTTTAATTATATAAAGTTCAAACCGCAGTCGGGCAACTCTACTCGTCGCGCTATCAACGTCGTTATTGACGTTTCACACAGGCGTGCTCAAAGTGTTCGCCGCCGCGGCCGATCCGGAACGACCGGAAACTGGTCGCCGAAAAGCAGCGCCGACCCCGGGACGTTGTTATTAATTGTAACTACAGTTACCGTTGTACAACTTATTTCGGTGTACGGACTCCCCGTTGGTCCCCGACATCGGGACGGCGTCACGACAACAACATGTTGATACGCCCTGGACGGTGATAACGCGGAGCGCTATCACGAGGGCCAAAACTATTCCATCGTGATAAGCACACGACGCGCATTCGCACACGATGTGACCCGCGATGGTACCCGGTTTCGTTAGATTTTTCGGTCCACCGGCTTAGACCTGGTGCTGGACTAGTGCGCCGGCATCGGTTTTCGGGGTGGTTTTTCTTTTACTCTTCGCGCAAACGATGGACGCTTTTGACGGCATGGACATCTCGGACGATTGGCAAATTCTGTTTACCATCAACGAACGACAACCGTGTCGTAAATGTTCAAAGTCTAGGAAATACTTCTGCTACACGTGCTACACACTGAACGCCGATTTGGAAAACAAAATCCCGAGACTCCAGGTATCTAGATCGTTTACATTGAATTTCATCGGCGCCGTGTATTGATTGTCAGGTGTTTTTTTGTCCTCCCACCTGTCAGCTTCCGTTCAAAATCGATATCATCAAACACAGGCGAGAAATTGCCGGCAAAAGCACTGCGATTCACGCTGCACTTCTAGCACCCGATGATGTTACCATCTACATCTATCCGAACTTACCTAAATACACCAAGGACAATAAGGTGACTAGACAGTTTACAATGTTCACTATAGCTTACAGTATTCTTAGATTTATTAGATTTACAACTGATTATTGAAATACTTAAATATTATATACTTATTTGACAGAAACAACAAATTAAAATATTTTATTTCCATTTCTAGGTGATCCTTGTTTACCCAAGAAAAACTGCTGTCACCTTAAAAGATATCTATAATTCAAACAAAAAGTATATACTTTTATATTATGTATCTATAGACATACTGCTCACTTAATTTGATTTATTCTCTTTTAATATTTATCTTAATAACAAAACACAACTTATTATATTAATATATTGATACAAAATAATTTATCCATCATATCATTAAATTTTTAAAATTTCTCCATTTCTAAAAGTCCTTTATTAATAAATTAAGAATAAGTACATTATTTTATTTTTGAGGACTTATAAATATTTTTTTACTGCCCTGTTTATTAGGGTGCTAATATTTTCATTTAAAAATTACTGAAAGAATAATTATGCAATTATTACAATATTTTTAATGACATATCTGATAAACAAGGTTCCACCATTCAATATGCCGACTGAAGAATCTTTTTATTAGTAAATTATCTATAATTAATAAGAACATTTATTAGAAGACACCTCATATTGGTCTGATATCTCCACTTATCCGAACTGTTAATGAACAAATTTTCTTTTAGTAGAACTGATTGCTTTTGTTTTTTTGTAATTTAAACAACTGTTTAATAAATTTAATTACTTCTAAATTTTTTTAAACTGAGGTCTCGATATTTTCATAAAATAAATTTATATTAAAATGAAACATCATTTATCTAGGGTTTCTTTATCAGTATATTTAATTCTTATCAAGTATTGGCTGTTAAGAATTTAATTGTTAATAATATGGTAAAAAAAAAAATATTCTGGTTAAATTTGGACAATTGAGAACAAACATTTAAAATCAATTTGTTTGTAATCTGTATACTATGCATTCAACAAGTAAATGTATGTTATGACATAATGGTTCAAAACTATATAAAGTTATATTCTAGTGCTCTTTGACTCTAATTCACAGATAAAACATAATAAATTATAGCATATTCATATTTAAGTGAAACAAAAACCAATAAATCATTTATAGCTGTGTTAGGCATAATACATTAAATTCGTAAAAAAAAGAATATAATCAGATAAAAAAAAAAAAACAAATACTTGTAACCATAAGTAAAATTAATTTGTTGACTAAGTCTAATTTATTAATGATATAATAATGTTTACTAACAACATATTAATTTATTTATGATCAACCTTTTTAGTATAGAAATTAACATCCTAAAAATGCTCGTTATAAATTTTGGATTGTATTCAATAGTAGAAATGGGCAAATGAATCATTTGATTCATTTGGTTTGGGTTATTCAAAAGACCCATTAATTTCATTCATTGAATGATGTACAAACTAAAAAAATTACTACTACAAAGATAAAACAAAAATTCATTGAATCAATCTTTTAAATTCATTCCATATAGTTTTGTATACTTGAACAAATTGAACTGATTTTGTTTTGATATTGGAGTAATTGAATGTATATTGTCTAAGTCATAACTAAATTGATTTATAAAATGTTATTAAACGTTAACTAGTCTCTAATGACGATCTACATGCAGCAACCAAAACAATATTTTATAAATGAATAATTTTGATTACGAGTTGATTCGTTTCCAAAAAGTACAACCTCAACAAGAATGAAATAGAAAAAAAAACTACTTTAAATTTTTGCGATTCTAATCGGTTTTTTCAAAAAGATAACCTGTTTAATATAACCTAATTGTTTGGGAATTACATCTTTATTTAATAGTTTAATTATATGAATAATCTGAGAAAAATAATATTGAAACATCATTAAAAATAATGTTAATATATTTTTTTATCTATATCCATTATTGGAATATTAATTTTATCCGTTACAATTCATTTTAAACTATGGTTATAAGTTATAATATATTTAGATGAATTTCTACATTATCTTGGAATTAATTAAATAAATATCTGAACTTTTTATGAAAAATAAAAATAATCATTTATTATCAAATTTAACAGATCAGAAGATAACCATACAAAGAATTCAAACCGGTTCATTACACATGTATTGTTCATCGATAGTACATGGAGTCAAAGCAAAGGAATTCTAAAAGATCCAATATTATCAGGTTGTATATTTGTTCATTATTTAAGATATGAATTATATTGAACATGTATTAATTTATTTTTTAATGTTGTTTAGGATTTCCATGTGTCAGACTACAAACAAGACTATCTCAATTTTGGAGACATCAAAAGGGTACTCCTAGATGGTATTTATCTACTATTGAATCTATCCATCAAATACTTATCGAATATACAGAAGCTGAAGACCAAGAAAACAAATCTCTCAACAATTATGATAATATGTTATTTTTCTTTCGGTTCATGTATGAAAAAATTCATCAATTATATGAACATGATAAGCTAAAAGCTTACAGACGACCAGTTAATATATAATAATGTTTCTGTGCAATTATATTTGTTTTTATATTTTTAAAATGTCTTCATATTATTTTAAAATTAAAGTAATACATGACCAGTATTTCAGAAATTTTAGAATTTTGATAAATATATTTTATTATTAATTTTATATATTATTGATATTTTTTATTTTCAAAGTATTCATAAGAGCTGATAAATTTTTCTATTTACAGACATTTGTATAAATATTGAATATACTCTTTGCCCTACAATGCGTTATTTCTTTTTCATTTATATGAAATAAAGTTATTATTATTAACTACATTCTGTTTATATTACACATGAACATACAAGTTATTTATTAAACATTTTTTTATATGGATATTAAATTTTAAGTTGCTAAAAAAATACATAAACATGTTTATAAAAAATAATATTAATTAATAAGAGTATTTAACAAGTACATTTATCTGCAGTGTACTTAATTTTTTTTTACTTTAAAATTATGAAAATTAAAAATAATGATCAATTATCAGTTCACACATTTTAGTGCTAACAGAGGTTTGTTTTGTTTACATAACTTGTGTACCTCAACTAAATATTGAAATAATTGTGTTTGTGATTAAAATTAAAATATTTAATATAATATTTATGTATTTTCCGTTTAAAGTTAGTCTAGATCTTGAATAGAAAATATTTTAAGCACTTGACTGTCTAAAGAGTTTATATTAAATTTCTAAAAACTATTCCACCGTTAAAACTATAATTTTAAAGATGAATCTTACTAACAAAACATACACTAACACAAAACTTGATTTAGTTAAAGAATTTTTTTAAAAAAATAAGTAAATTTATAATTATCATTGATTTGTAAAAAAGAACTATAACAATGATAACACTTAAAAACCTTCTTTACCACTATCTAGATATCTAAATAAGATTGGACACATTTGAAAGAAAAGTTCTAAGACGAATTTATTGACCATGTCTCGACTCAAGTACCGGAGAATGGAGGATTCGAACCAATGAGGAACATCTAAATATGTTCCAAAGACCAAGCATATCAAAGAAAATCGCAAATAGAAGACTGATGTGGGCCGGTTGCGCCTGGAGGAAAAAATGGAATGATATATGCAATTATTATAGAGGAACCGGAAGGTAAAAGACCACTAGGCAGACCGCGCCTCAGATGGGAAGACTGTGTGAAGACAGAAGTGAAAGCCGCACACCCAGGAGCAAACCGGAGAGAAGAAGCTGAAGACAGAATAAGATGGAGAGAAATTTGTTATACGGAATAGTCTGAAAGGCCGAAAAAACCAAAAAAAAATTTCAAGTTACAACATAATATACATGGGCGTCGTTCATAACCGTACACTTCCAAAAAAAGGTCGTCGTTCAAAACCGCACACTTTTGTATCTTAATCTCACGTATGTCCGCCAAATTAAACCGTTAAATACTGCACACATTGATATATATATATATATATATTAATAACGTATACATTTATCTAAAATAACATGAGTGCACCTCGAGACCGGGCGGGATCACTCGCTTGCTCGGACAGATAAAAACGAAAATATCCCCCGATTTGCTATGCAACACCACCCCAAATAGGTAACAGGATAAAAAAAAATAATTATGAGTGGGAATCATACGAAACGGCAACGTGAACCGTACATGCAAAGTATGCAGGAAGAAAGAACTATTAATCAAATGTATGCGGTATTGAACGATGTAAAATGTGCGGTTATGAACGGTAGTGATATGTGATAAACGGCAGTATTTAATGATTGCAAGTTAAAAATGTTTATTTTCTATTTTTGGCTGTGTGCTCATGGCGTAAACAAGTTACAATAAAATATATGTAAGGTAAATACTTAAGTTGTAATTGAAAGGAAAATTCTTAGGTTTGTATTTAAAATTCAACATATGCCATAAATATTCCCTTAAAAACTGGTAAAATTTATTCGAAAAATGCTTAAATCCAAGGAATATTTTGTTTAATTCAAAATATTTTTAAGTTTGCCAATTGTTTAATTATGTATAATATTATAAATACAATTTACTCGTATATACTTTGATTTATATTGTTAATAGTATTAATTGTTGTTTGCACTTATAAACATGTACCTACCTATTTACTCAGAATAGGTATCACATATCCTATGTAAAAAAAAAAAAAAATTGTGTCCAGTAAAAAATTCAAGATACATAACTTATATAAAGTTTTCATATGTAAAATTAAAAAAATTACAACTTATTTAATAAAAACAACAAATTGTATCAAATGATCACATTCTGAAATTAAATAATTATTATTGTTTTATTTTAGTCTTTTTTTCATATTATGTTTTTTTTTTTCTGTGATATTTAAGTCCAAATTTATGAATTAAACAAATATGATCGTTTCTACAGACAACAACATATATTTTAAAATATGAAAAATAGATATAATATTATCTTATCTCCTAAATATGTTGAATTATGTCAAACAATTTTTTTTCTACAAACTCAAATAAATAACTATAATAAATAAATATAAAAATAAAATTTATTCTTTAGTTGCATAAAAAAATATATATTTATATATAACATAAACATTATTATTATGTGCATATTTTTGACTGTTTTATTGACCAACAACTGTAGGTTAGTAAGATTAGTGATTGTCAATTTTTAATTTTATTATACTTATAAATGTTAAGACTGTTTTGTATAAATATAAGTAATAAATAATTAAAAATTAAGTTCGTGAGTTGTGATATTATTTTATCATCTAACATGTGATATTTAATATAAATTTGTTTTATATGTATTTTTAATGAAATATTTTAGACTAAACCAAATTATAATTGTAATTAATTTTTATAAACACTTTAGACCATATATTACAATTTATTTTTACTGACCAGGCATAATATCTTGAAGATAGTTTTTTTTTTTGGGGGGGGGCAGGATACTTGTTTTTAGTTTTTACACCCTGTAAAACAAAAAAATTATAAACAAATTTGTGTAAAAGAAAAAAATTATAAATGTCTTGTCTTAAGGACTAGGTACTTAAAAAAGTTTGGTAGGATTTAGACTTTAGTAAGTGAACTAGAATGTATCCATTTTACCATTTTTGGTGATAATAGTTCTCCCTCAACATTTTTACCACTTTAACCACTATATATATATATGTATAAACAGTAAACACATAATATGAGTTACAAATTAATGTTCTCTTTTTCTATACCTAGTCATTCATGACTTTTAAACTCAATATCTTAATAGTTTTTGCCCGGAAATCTTGTAAATATTATACTAAATAATACATTTTAATATTAACATTTTATAAATATTTTTAACCCTAGAGGAGAGTATAGACCCGGTATTCTCCTACGTAAATACACTACTGATTACATGTATAATTATTACTTCTCAAAGACTCTTTTTTGAGTATCCTCTATAAATGGTCTTCGTAATAAATAGGTATGTACCTATAATTGCGTAAGTGGTGTATACGCATTGTGTCCTAACAATATTTATCCACTACACCAAGTCCCAAAGTAAAAAAATTATTTTTCTTTTCATTTTATACAGAATCAGGATTGTCAATATCAATTCATTACTAACGGTAGACTAAAAATTTAATTTTTTGTCGTTGTTATGAAAATTAAATTATACTAAATTATAATTATAATAATATTAAAAAATTAAAAGATTAAATTTAGATTTGAGAAATTATAAGATTGATGAAATCTTGAACGATACCTTTTTAATAAAATCGCGACGAGTTAATTGGTCATTTTCATATTTATCGTGAATCGTTTGGATAAATCCGGACACAATTCGTGTAGTCTAGAACAGTGGTGCGCAACCTAGAGGTCACGAAATCTAAGAGTGTTGCCCCAAATTTTACTAGGGGATTTCCAATAATTTAACACCAAATTAAAGTTATAAAATATGTATATTATTTTTACAATTTTATATTTATATTCTAGGTTTTATAAGACTTTAATTTTGTATTTTTTTTTAATTTTTTTATTTGTTAAATTAAAGAAATATTAAAATTTTCTAAAATTAACTATTTAATTTATACAATTACAATGTTTGCACGTATTATACACTGAGATACATAATGCCGGTAGGAAGGGGGTCGCCACAGCGAAATAATTTTTATGATCGTGGATCAAAAAAAGTTTCACACCCGCTGGTATAGAAAATCCGGATGCAATTCATGTACCTACTTATCGATTTATTTATTTCTGAACGCAATTCGTGTGCAGCCTGCGTAGGTTGTCACTTCTATCAAAAATGGCCTAATGATGTTCATTATAAATTATCACAAGCACAATAACATAGATGGTTCGTCGAGACATCAAGTGTATGAATGATATTACAATGGTATTACTGATTTATTATTGTGTTATAGATACCAATTAGCGTAATCCCTGCGGCCCACAATATAATTCATGATTTCAAACAAATTAATTATTAAGGCCAATTTAAACATAATTAAAACATTGTTATATCACGCCAGCTATATTATTATTCAATTATACGGATTATGTTGCCGGGTTAGGTATATTTTAATAATAGCTGTGGCAATAAAGTCAGAAGTCATCATAATAATAATTGAGGTCCTGAGAAGGTCACACTACTTTCAATCGAATATCTTGTTAAATTGATATACTATTTATTACGCTATTGCTACGTTTAATATAATATTATTTAACACATATAATACCGAAACAATATACTGAAATTACCATAGCTATAATAATAAAATTGAAATAATTACATAGGTAATTTAATGGCTAATTATATGATTGTAATTTATAATATTTCGTATTATTCACAGTAACATTATATTATACATGAATAATAAAATATAACTAGTATTTAAAATATGATTCTTTATGATTGCGGCTAATATTTATAAGGTATCTTTCTCTACCTAATATTACATATTTACTATCTATGTATTTTGTAATTCCTATTGCCTCGTCTAAATTACTCCATATCAGAAATCATATCATTATTAATACTTGTAGGTACATTATTGATATTGTCAAAAATATACACATGAA